CGGTCTTTTCAGGAGGCAGAAACCCCGCAAAGCAGCTGGGCCGGACTCTGTCTGCCCATCCATCCTGAAGCACTGTGCTGATCAGCTGTCTCCGGTGTTCACAGACATGTTTAACACCTCACTGGAGACATGCCAAGTGCCAGCCTGCTTCAAAGCCTCCACTATCATCCCTGTCCCCAAGAAACCAAGGACCACTGGAGTAAATGACTACAGAGCCGTCGCCCTGACCAATGAAGTCCTTTGAACGCCTTGTGTTGTCCCACCTAAAATCCATCACAGACCCACTCCTGGACCCCCTGCAGTTCGCCTACAGAGCCAACAGGTCTGTAGATGAAGCAGTAAACATGGCCCTTCACTACATCCTCCAGCACCTGGACTCCCCAGGAACCTACGCCAGGATCCTGTTTGTGGATTTCAGCTCTGCTTTTAACACCATCATCCTGGCCCTGCTGCAGGACAAGCTCTCTCAGCTGAACGTGCCTGACGCCACCTGCTGGTGGATCACTGACTTCCTGACAGACAGGAAGTAGCATGTGAAGCTGGGAAAACACGTCTCTGATTCCAGGACCATCAGCACCAGATCCCTTCAAGGCTGCGTTCTCTCCCCCCTGCTCTTCTCCCTGTGTACCAACAGCTGCACCTCCAGTCACCAGTCTGTCGAGCTCCTGAAGTTTGCGGATGACACCACCTTCATTGGGCTCATCTCAAGTGGAGATGAGTCCGCCTACAGGTGGGAGATCTGCCAAAGACAATGATGGTGCACTTCTACACCGCCATCATTGAGTCCATCCTCACCTCCTGTACGCCTCCAGGACTCTGAGGCGAGCAGGAAAGATTGCAGCTGACTCCTCCCACCCCGGACACAAACTGTCAGACTCTCCCCTCTGGCAGGAGGCTGCGGTCCACAAAAACAGTTTCTTCCCGTCTGCAACTAGCCTCATTAACAAGGCCCGGGTCTTCCACTGAGACTCCCCCCTTACAAGTGATACAAATGTCTCTGCACATGTAAATACTGTTTCATCTGCCGTTAGGCGCAGACCTGGCACGTCGCACATATTTTGATAGTTGATTTTTATGTATGTAAGACCCAGAATAATGCTCATGTATATATCTGTAACGTTGTTCTTACATTCCATATTTATTATATTTCTACATTTATTTATGTGACTGTATGTTTGTCTGCGTGTAGCACCTCATCACTTGGCAATAAAGCTCATTCTGATTCTGATTCTCGTTGTCTCATTTTGTGTAAATTTGACCACATTCTGTGCTAATTCCCCCCAAACATCCTGACTTTACAAATGTTAACGAAATGTATATAATGTTTAATGAAAATAATTGATCTTTAGATGAATCGCGATGCAGACTTGGACGATTATGAATCGATCACAAATATCAATAATTGATTATCTAGAGTGTCGTTTAAGGTGGAGTGAACGTGGTTTGAAGGTGTAAAGTGTGTAGTTCAACCCCCATCTGACTCTATACTATCATCAGAAATAAAATAGCAGCAGCAGAGGTCAGCAATAACGCTGTAATAATGTAATAATGCTATGCAATGTTAGCTACATTTATATGAAGTAACATTAAATATCTTCATTTCATTACTACCTACTACTTTGGATTGTTATAAATACTTTGCTTTAAAAGTACCAAATAGTCAAACAGTGAGGGAAATACATCTGTATCCTGTTTGTTTTACAATCGCATCGTAGCCTCATAATCGTAATGAGGTGCTTAGAAATTCCCACCCTTCGTGAGACCAGTGAAGATGCACACCCCCTAATACGCACCAGCTGTTTGATTACGCCTGTGTGTTCGTCTGGAGCGCAGCCTCCGACTGATCTCAAGACTCCCCAGAAAGTCCAGGTCTTTCTGTTATTTCCATTTCTGCCTTTGTCCTTTCTGTCCTTTTTCTTCCCATCTGTGTACATTTATGAAGTAGTATTATTAGTAGTAGTAGAAACAGAAGAAACATTTGAATTGACTTAGCCTTTGCGAGTTTGCATGCAGTTGCATGGCGCACAGTAAGGATAGACCTTCGACCTTAAGCAGTGTTTCCCACAGGGCTTTGTGAGACTGCGGTGGACGGACCTCGGACCCTGTTCATCTTAAAGTTTAATGCATTAATCTGGTGGGCTTTGAGAGCAAAATTAAGAGGCTAGCTTTATGAAGAACTTTACGCTCTTGTAAACAATTTGATCATAAACACGTTGTATAGATGTCTGCGAAGGTTCTCGGTCATCCAGGTCATAGTGATCCAAAGAAGGTTTAACAGAACTGGAGTCCAGTTGACTTTAACCTTCTTTGGATACCTTGTATAGATATAACGGTGACACAGCATTTAAGTCAATTAATTTATTTAATGATTTCCAAGTAATTTCCCAAGTTTTTTAATGTTTTCTTTTCTTTTAATGGACACATGTAACATGTTTTATATTTCCTGTGAATATATTCCAAATAACCTTAATTCCTTACTGTTTGTACGTTGTGTTAGCACCTTATTTTGACAACCGGATGTTGTCACACGTGTATCCTCGGGCTAAGTCAGACACAGTTTGATAAATGATACTGTATCTGGGGCTCGTATTGCGTACAGCTCAGACTTCACTCCTCTCTTTAGGTAAGAGACTCGAACTGAAACACTCTCTTTGTGAAAGTGACTGAATAAAGTCGCTAACCCTGCCGGTCATCTCGCTCTGCTGTTTCAGTGCATTTACCATAAACGCACGAATACGTGTGCACTCCAGATTTAGGTGCGGCTACTTGATCATGTTCTCACAAATGAGTGACTGTAGATACAGTCAAAGCTGTTCAGTCCCTTTACGTTGCCGTAGTTAGCTCAAACGATGTTGTGTCCTTTAAAACAAAAGTGGTTTTCTCTAGTCGGATGCCAAAGTGTGCGAGCATGTGAGCTTATAGCTTATAATGTGATTTATGACGAGAGTAAAAATATTTTTGGTTAATTTTGAAACTGCAGGGGAACAAATTACACTGTGACAAGCCACCACGGTGTTGTAATGATACCACTGATGTAATTATTGAGATTATCAAGCCTTCGGACACAAATTAGTTTTTTCAGATTTTGGGCTATGTCCACAACTGCCTCACAAGTTGAACAATGGTTTAATGAAAGCTGATCGCAGGATCCATTAAGTTATTAAGGTCTCCAGATGAGCCGCAGGCAGGAGTCCCATTCGGTCAGGCTTTACATACGGGGTGATTAGTTTCCTCTGACAATTTATAAACTAATTTATTTTCATTGCACTCTACCAAATAACATGTACCTTGCTCCCTCAGGGCATCATGCCACCCACTCGCCATCAGGCAGCTCGCTGTTTCAGAGCTCCCTCTAGTTGTGTCAGTGGAGGAGAAAATTACAGACAGCTGGAAGCTTTTACTCTGTGTGTCATTAAGAGCGAGAGGGCTGATAAAAGTTTGCAGCAGCAGCAGTAACATGATAAATCACAGTAACCATCTAAGAGCCTTCCCTTCGGTTATCTCGCTGCTGAGTCGGAGGGTGAAATTTGTCCTTGCAGTGGAGCGTGTACTGTCAGTCTGCTGGGTCACGAGTTCCTGTTGAGCGGCATGCCAACATGTGACGCAAGCTCTGCGGCTCTGGCACTCGTAGTTCAGCAGCGGGTTAATGACTGACTGTGAGATCAGGGCTTGCATGCACCACAACATGTATTTAAGCAGCCAAATAGATATTTAAACTGTAACAGGACCTTGGTTTCTTCCCAGTGAGGCCGTCCAAGTTGGCTAACTTGCCGGGCACAGCTGTCCACGGTTTGGCCGGTGGACAGAGAGTGGTGTAAATTTACAGTAACCCTCATTGATGTCTCAACCAGGGAAAGTAGACACCTGCTGTGAGACTCTGAAGCAAAGTAAATACTCATTATCTTGTTTTTGTTTCTTTGTGTTATTGTGTGACTTTGGTGTTTTAAATGGTTAAAAAAAAACAAAGTCACACAAACACAAACTTACCCATCGAGGCAGCGGTAGACCAGAGAAGTCAAATTACTATTTTTGCTATTTGGGAGTCTGGTGGCTTTGACGAGAGTGACATACTGGCTGTTTCTGGTTAAACAAAAAGGCTCTTACCCTTTAAAAAAAGGTCTCTCTCTGTAGGGATCCTTTCCATAATGTTGTCAGACACGTGTAATAACAATCTGAGCCTGTCAGTGGCAAAAACAAGCACCTTAGTGGACGTACTTGGACGGAGCGCAACTGCCTTTGTTAGTTTTTAAAAAACAATGAAGATGCAACACAACAGTTTTGTTCTCTGAATCATCAATTCAGAAATAGATTTGAGCAGATCAGCGGGAATTCTTCATCAGATGTGCGGTAAAATTGTTGACCACATGGACAGTAAATGCTGGGGCAGGAAGCCAGCTGTCAGTTTGGTCCTCGGGTCAATAAATTACGTACAACTGCAATGACATTTGTGTTTGAGTCCAGAGTTCACCGCCATGTTGATCTCACTGGTTTCCAGTTTCCTGTCAACACTTCCTTTATCCATCTGCAGGAAATGCCCCAATAAATATCTACATAACCTCAGACAGAAATGAAATGAAACTTCAGTATCAGCTGATACAGTTTCAGACTTCAGGCCTGCCGAGTGTGCACACTGGATAAGTAAAGGTCAGAGGTCGGTTATCTTCTCTGTTTGTGCCTTAACTACTTAAAAGTCAAAGTGAAAATTCTTAATTTTTCCCCAAAACCATGAGAATAAAAGCCATGAATAACATTTCTTTTGATGTGAAAGAGACTTTCAGCAGGGGCGGGTGTAATACATGTGTCTTTGCTTCAGAGCATTTAATCATGTGATCACTTGAGAGTTGCTCCTAAAGGTTACTGCTACACTTTGCTGTCATATAACAAATACATGTGATAAATGTGTCACTACTCAGAAAGCTAGTGTTTGTATTATGCCGCTGAACTCTGCTGAAAAATGCCGTCAGATAAAAACTGTAACCTTCTGTTTATTTTTCCTCCAGGATGTCATAGTCGGCGTCCTGTACAGCGCCCTGATCCTGCTCTTCTTCCTGCCGGCGTTGGACCTGATCGACGGCTTCAACCTGACCTGCCGCTACGCCCCGCTCATCATCGTCTCCTTGCACCTGGGCCTGGGCCTATTCTCTTTCACCCTGGACACCTGGAGCACCTCGCGGGGCGACACCGCTCAGATCCTGGGCGTAGGTGCCGGCATCGCCCTGGCCTCCCACGTCAACCACTACCTTGGTCTGTTGCCCGACCCGACACCGGACCAGCTCCCCTTCGCCGTGCCCGTTTTTAGCGCCGGCCTGGTGGGCATGGCCATCCTGCGGCTCTTCCTGGGCGTGCTAGTGCTGATGACCACGCGGGCGCTGATGAAGGCCATCACCATCCCGCTGGTGTGCAGGGTGTTCAGGGTGCCCAGCACGGATGTGAGGAAGGCGAGGCAGCACATGGAGGTGGAGTTGCCCTACCGCTACATCGTTTACGGCGCCGTGGGCTTCAACGTGCTCTGCCTGGTCCCGCTGCTCTTCAGCTACATGTAGTACTCCTGTTTGGATGTCAGTTCTCTTCCTGGTCAACAGCGAAGTGACCCCCCAGATCCCATCCAGAACCCCCTTTTCTTAGTCTGGGTTGGGACTAACGGGAATAAAAGCCTAAACTCTGATGTGGCTGCTGACATGTTATCAGTTTTTCAGTTTCCCCCCTTGATGCCTCAGGTTGGGATGAACCAGGAGCTTTCCTGACTGAGTCTGTCTGCTCTGTTATTTAGATTTATGTAGCTCCTCTTGATCCTGGGACTCGCTGCGACTGCTCCTCCTCTATCAGCTTAATTCATATCAGAGAGGAAACTGCTTTTGTAAGAGTTCAGACAAAGAAGCACACAAGTATGTTTTTTTTAAAGACTGAATTCTTCCAATTTTCTTACAACATCTTAAGGAAACACGACTGCACAGTGAATTCACAAAACAGTTGCAGGTCATTTTTTGTTGGACCACCACTTTGATTAATCAACAAATCGTTTCAGCTGAAAGTTCTGTGATTAAACTCTGTGTGGTTCTCTGTCAGGAAGCTTCTTAATATTAATATTTATGGATACACCGAATGTTCGGCCACCGAAAAGCACTTACGGTGTTCGACCATTTCTGTCACTCTGTGTTCAGGAAAGTTTTTCATTATATTTGGTTTCGGGTTCGGCCAAGAATTTTCATTTCGGTGCATCCCTATTAATATTTGATCTTCCTCTTGTCTGTCTCGCTTCTCAAAGCAATAAGGTTTTTATGAAGTTGTACTTTCTTGTTCTTGGATAAGAGTTTATCCCAATGGAGAGAGGTTTCTCCTTCACCTGTGGAGTGGACACACCTGTGGTTTAAAGTTCTGACTGAAGAAGAAGAAGGATACAAGTCAGAAATTAGATACTTTTTGAGGTGCTTGATCGCACGTGAACAGCGTTTTCCCACTTTGTCTGCTCTGTTTACTGTTTCTGTCTTTATACAGACAAATTATCGTCAGCCCTCTGCTCCGAGAACGATTGCTTTTCCTGCGAAAAAGTACCGGGCACATACTGCATCATCCAGAGGGAAGGAAGGAAGAGAGCGCCACTTTGTTTGGGAAATGTACAGAGAGGGTTTATTTGTAATCTGTGAGGTTGTCAGGAATCTTTCCGCTTTGCTCAGCTTTTTTACCTTCACACTGTAAAGTGACTTCCCGTCGCTGCTGAGATGCTGTCGATGGCTTGCATCCACTTCCTGTTACAGAGGAGAGCTTCTTCTGCTTTTATCAGGAGGGAGGAGGTGGTGGAGAGACAGAGGGGAGGATGACGATACAGCTCAGACCAAAAATATATGTATACACTAAACAAAATTATAAACGGAACACTTTTGTTTTTCCCCCCATTCATCATGAGCTGAACTCAAAGATCTAAGACTTTCTGTATGTACACAAAAGACTTATTTCTCTCAAATATTGTTCACAAATCTGTCAAAATCTGTGTTAGTGAGCACTTCTCCTTTGCTGAGATAATCCATCCACCTCACAGGTGTGGCATATCAAGATGCAGATCAGACATCATGGGTATTGCACAGGTGTGCCTTAGGCTGCCCACAATAAAAGGCCGCTTGAAAATGTGCAGTTCCATCACACAGCACGACGCCACAGATGTCGCAAGTTTTAAAGGAGCGTGCAGTTGGCATGCTGACTGCAGGAATGTCCACCAGAGCTGTTGCAGCTGAATTGAATGTTCATTTCTCTACCATAACCAGTGTCCAAAGGCATTTCAGAGAATTTGGCAGTACATCCAACCGGCCTCAAAACCGCAGACCACGTGTAACCACACCAGCCCAGGACCTCCACATCCAGCATCTTCACCTCCAAGATGGTCTGAGACCAGCCACCCGGACAGCTGCTGCAACAATCGGTTTGCATATCCAAAGAATTTCTGCACAAACTGTCAGGAACCGTCTCAGGGAAACTCCTCTGAATGCTCGTCGTCCTCACTGGGGTCTCGACCTGACTGCAACTTCGTACAACCATTGAAGAGGAGTGGACCAACACTCCAAAGGCCGCAATCAACAACCTGATAAAGTGTATGCGAAGGAGATGTGTTGCACTGCGTGAAGCAAATGGTGGTCACACCAGATACTGACTGGTTTCCGGACCCCTCCGGACCCCCAATACAGTGAAACCGCACATTTTGGAGTGGCCTTTTATTGTGGCCAGCCTAAGGCACACCTGTGTAATACCCATGCTATCTGGGCAATACAATTTTGTAGCTTTCTCACGTAGCTGAACCAGACGGAGTCGCACGGCCTCAGATTTTAGAATAAGGTAGAAATATTTGGAAGAAACACGTGGTAAGCATGTGAAAGCAATCTGTCAGCTTTTACGTGTCACATTCTCATAAAATTAGTCTTATTATTAGGCAGTACGGTCTGCAGAATATGTTTAGGACCTCTTTACAATTCTCTCAAAATATTTCAACTTTATTCTTCAAATCTAATTTGCCTCCAACAGTGCTAGAGTTTTTTTGTCAACAAGACTGGAACAAGTAGATTACTTGTTCAAGTAGTTACTTGTTCCAGTCCAGCATCGTTAAGTTGTCGTTAGTTAAGTTTTATAAAACTTGATCGCAACAGCAGGAAGTTGTTCTGCTGAAAGTTTCATTATTTTTCTATTTTGCCACAGTATCATAGCAATATTGAATTTTATAGACTTTATAAATTTTGGCTTAAAGTCAAAACACCACCCCAGTTAGTTTTTTCAGGGTTTCTGTGTCTGATTAATCTCCCTGCTGAAGGATCAGATGCCTGTTCCCACTTATAAAGCAAGACTGTTTTGCTAACCTGAATCTTGTTTATTCCAATCACCTGTATTGTTAATGATTGATAAATAATAACCACTGGTCTAGATTGAAAAGTAACATGAGAAGGAATCAAACGTTGTTTTTTTAGGTCAGCTTCACTGAGTGTGTGTGATTTCTCTGCAGATGACACAAAGCTTTATAAAACACCAACCGGAGGATGTATTGTTGTCATTTAATTTCCCTCCGTTCATTTCGGCCTTAATGTGCAACTCTTTGTAAAGTCTGTTTCGACTTAAGAGCTCTAAACCGCATCCTCAATTACCTTTCCGACGTGCTGATGGTGATTGAGAGATAACTGGTACATGCACGTGTGATGAATTAATGATATATGCATTTTAAATAGTCACGACAGCGTGTAATGGTAGCACAAACTGATGTCGTAGAGCCTCGCAGACGCAACATAGTCAGGGAAATGTGCAAGTATTGATTTGTAAACATTTGATTCAGGGTGTGTTTTATGCATCCAGTAACCTACTTAGAGTTTTATGCACCTGGCCCCAGAGGTTTTAAAAATTGTCTCCAGATAGACAGACAGTGGCTCTGCTGGTCGTTTTAAACCTGCATTCACTGATATTCCACATAAAAACTTGTTTGTTTTGGTGCATCCTTAATTTTTTTGTTAGTTATAGAATGTTTCGGTATTTAACTGAGTGAGAATTTAATACCTCCTATTCTGTTGCAGAACAAGACTAGATGTTGTTTGTAAAGATTAGCAGGTACATTATAAAACTTAGCCCCAACAAACATCTGCAGGTTTTCCCATAAAAAAACAGTCCATAAATAAATAAATGAAAGCAGGAGGTTTGACTGATAACAGCAATTAGAAAGAATAACAGACTCCAGCTTTCTGTCCTCCTGTTCTCCTCCCACTCTGATGAATAAACCTGAGGCTGATGTCTGCAGGACTGGACCAATCTGAGTTGAAGATTAGAAGGACTTTTTATTCCCCCTGTGCCTGCTTTATATTTTTATAAAGAAGTGCCCACGGTCTTCTCTAGTGTTCCTTCAGTAGATCACATCAACATTAGGACTCTGCTTCTGCTGGAAGAAACAAACATTTCTGCAAATTAAAGGATTTCATGGAATAAAGAACTGTTCTATACATAGACAGGACGTCCTGTTGGGGTTCACGGACAAGATGACCGTTTGGCATTGTTAGTTGTGTGTTTGTAAACAACAGCAGCAGTACAGTGGTTTGTGTTTTGTCTGTTTCCTAAAGAGTTCTTATCAGATGTGCTCAGTGGACCGTCAGTCACCCTCGACATCAGTCTTGTTATAGTGAAGTAAAGATTTATTTATATTCTGCGTCGAGTCTACATTTATCTCACAATTGCTATTTATGTCAGGTTGCACGCCTTTGGAGCCACTGGGGGTTAAGTGTCTTGCTCAGGGACACAATGGTGGGCGCGTCACAGTAGGGAGTTGAACGCGGGTCTCTCGCACCAAAGGCATGCGTCTTATCCACTGCGCCATCAGAATCCCCAGCTCTACCGTCTACATCGCTCTGCAGTCACACCGCTGAAACGATAGTTGGAGTCCATCCATCCATCGTCAACCGGTTATCCTGCGTACATGGTCACGGGGAACAGCAGTTAATTTTAGTGAAATTACTAAAATGCTGAAACGAAAGAAGGTGTCGGAGGAGACGGTATGTAGGACCCTTGTGCCGGTTAAGGCAGAAAAAGGAGGAGGACGAGCCGGAAATGCGTAGGAGGAAATGTGAAGCTACCAAGCCGACCAATCACAGTTCTTACGAACTGCGTCGCCGTTTGTAGTGTGTCAGGCTACTGCGCAGATTTGATGCAGAAGTATGAATTCAGAGAAAAAGACACGATTGTCAATAAATATCAACACCGTGTCCACTGATGATGTGGCTGAAAGATCTAAACTTACTCAATTATTACAAACTTAACAAAATGAACCCCTAAATTTGGTTAAAGAATTATGATTACAAGATGCACGTTGGTCAGTACTCTCTGCTGTAACGTTGGTGCTGTTTCTAAACTCAAACATTGGACAGAACAGTCTCTGTTCTGGAATTTTCCATCATATTACTTCCTCAGAAGATTAAGTTTTCTTGGAATTGCAGACATTCAGATTTCCGTTTTCCTGCGCTCTTAAAGAGCCTCTCGTTCACATTATAGTTTCTTGAGCTTGGAAACGGCGGTTGACTAAAGGAGTCTCACCACGAGGTCCCTTTAGTAGCTGTGGATTCGATAGAAAGCTCCAGAACAACTGCTGACCTTGTGATTTCTTTTTCCAAGGTCAAGGCTGAGCTTTAAAACATCTGAAACCTTTCTTTGGAA